CCACAACGCCTGGCCATTTTTTGGTTGCAGCCATCATTGTTGTTTGGTGGGCCCGGGCTGGGGATTCAAACCTGCCACCTTGGGTGTACGTGGCTGGCGCCTTAGCCACTTGAGCCACAGGTGCCGAGCCCAAACTTATTTTTATAGAAATTATTGAGAATAATCTTTCTTAAAAAAATATGCACTTCATATATTGATATAGTTTGGGAAACTTGATTAAAGTCAGTCAAGTGACTGAGTTTTTAATATTGGACTTGAGTATTTATATATCGTGCATCAAGTCTGTTGGATACGAGAACACTGTAGGAATGGATGATCTGTTGTAGCACCTTTGAGCATTCACTTTATGGAGCACATGTAAGTTATTTATATACAAAGAAATCTATTTTATGTCGTTGTTTAGAGAAATTGCATGAAGTCATGTAGTTGCAAATAAAAAGTAGTTTGAGGCAGAAAAAAATAATGTGTATACATGGACACATGAAGTGGAATAAGGCTCTTCCCCTCCTTCTTCTCTTTGGGGGGGAGGAAGAGAGAGAAAGCATAGAACACTTAGATCCTCGGGAAGAAGGTGTGGGATGAAGGATTACTTAATGTATACAATATATACTATTTGGAATAATAGTTACGCTAAAGGCCCAGACTTCACCACTATGCGCTATATCTGTGTAACAAAACTACATTTGTACCCTCTAAATCTATACAAATTTGTTAAAAAGAAAAAAAAAACAACATAAGCAGTCTTGGAAACTGTTAGCCCCTAAAATACTTTGGAATTACTTTCTCATCTAGTTTATGAGTCATAAAAGAAAAACTTATTTCTGAATATTTAAATCTTCTGGGGTTTTTGTATTTTGTTTGTTGTATTTTGTCTCTTTTCTCTTCCCTCCAATAAAATCATCTGGCATGTTTTTAAGCCACCTTATTTATTATTATTAAAGTAAACTGAGATGACTTTGGCTTTCTCAAGAAAATTTTGTAATAAAAATGGAGATTTGTCACCATTAAGGAATATATGTGCATACATATATTACATATTCTCAATGCATATGGAAAATACATTTAAGGAAATTAGATAACTTAACCTCAAGCCACCATTAGGCCTAGTTTTTCTCATGTGACCTTCTTGTTAAGGCCAGCATTCACCCAGTCACTAGTATCTATGACACAAGAGAGGAATGTTCTGAAAGCTGTTCTTTAAAGCATTTTAAAAAATGTTTTTGAGTAATTACTATGTTGTTGGAATATATAATTTGGTGTGGAAATCACTTATCTGAATACTTTTTTCTTTCTTTCTTTTTTTTTTTTTTTGAGACAGAGCCTCAAGCTGTCCCCCTGGGTAGAGTGCTGTGGCATTACAGCTCACAGCAATCTCCAACTCCTGGGCTCAAGCGAGTCTCCTGCCTCCGCCTCCCAAGTAGCTGGGACCACAGGCGCTCCCCACAACGCCCAGCTATTTTTTGGTTGCAGCCGGCATTGTTGTTTGGCGGGTCCAGGCTGGGGATTTGAACCTGCCACCTTAGGTGTACGTGGCTGGCGCCTTAGCCGGTTGAGCTACAGGCACCGAGCCTGAATACTTTTTTCAAAAAAAAAAAAATATGTGACTATATCAATGTTAATGGGGACACAAAAAGAATATGGTCAGAATAGTTGGGATTAATCTATAAAAAGTTCCTATGGATGAATTTTAACTCCAGTGTTCTCAATGAAGTGTATATTGTTATAAGCCCTGTGGATGGGATTAGGGCAATAATATTTACTTATTGACTACTATTTAAAGCAATAAAAGCTCCCATTCGTGATGGTCTCCTTTGTGTCTCACACTCTGTAGTGTGCTACACTCTTGACAGCACTAATCTTAATGCTCATAGCAACATTTTAGGGAGTAATAGCTCCATTTTATAAAAAAGGAAACTGAGGATCAAAAAAGTTAAGGTATAAAAGTGATGAAACTAGAATTTATCTTCATTTAGACAACTGTAAAACTTGCTGTTTTCACTGTTTTCTTTCTTTCTTTCTTTCTTTTTTTTTTGAGACAGAGTCTTACTCTATTACTCTGGGTAGAGTATAAGGGGTCATCATAGCTCACGGCAACCTCAATCTCTTGGGCTCAGGTGATCCTCTTACCTCAGCTTCTCAGAAGCTGGGATTACAGGTACCCGCCACAACATTTGGCTAATTATTCCACTTCTAGTATTTGGCTAATTATTCCACTTTTTCTCAGGCTGGTCTCGAACTCTGAGCTTAAGCAATCCATCCAAATGGGCCTTCCAGAATGCTAGAATTATATATGTGAGCCACCACTCCTCCTCCTCACTATCTTTTACTATGTGACTCTGAGTTATGCTATGTAATTCTCTGTTTCGGTTTCCCTTACCTGTAAAATAAAGAAACTAATAGTGCCTACCCCTGACCTCTGAAGGCAGTTGTATGAATAAAGTGAAATAATGCAGAAAGTTTTGCATGGAATAAACCCTCAATAAACATTAGCTTTTAAGGTCAGGTTTCTGAGCCTGATAAGCCAGGACTACACCCTTATTATCAAAGTAAATGATTGTTTTGGAAACACGCTCCTCAAATTGCATTTTTCCCTCTGTTCGCCACACAACAATCATCAACAAAAGCCTTCGATGACCAAATGTGGGGATTTTTTTCCCCACACACCCAGCAGTGGACACCAGCTGAGTGTCTTCTAATTAAATTCTGATACTATCCACCTGCAGACAGAATCGGATCCCACAGGGTAAGGGCTCCCCAAAACTATACCCTCAGACACCAGTCAGAATTCTGGGCCTTCAGAATTCTCCACCAGCTTTAAGTTGAGAAGGTCTCACAACCGCCTCTTTGCATTCAATTAATTTGCTGGAGTGGCTCACAGAACTCAGAGAAACACTTTTGTTTACTGGTTTATTACAAAGGATACACATGAAGAGAGGCATAGGGCAAGAAAGGAGTGAGGATCGTCCACGCCCTCCCAGTATGTGCAACCCTCCAGGAACCTCCACTTGTTCAGCTACCTGGAAGCTCTCAAAACCCAGCCCTCTTGAGATTTTTATCAATTGTGATGCCCTAACTCCATCCATTTTTTTAAGCTTGGCACCCCGCCCCCGCTTTTGTAACCAAAATTGCCTTTTAAGCGAGCAGCGACCCTGCAGAAACGGGAAGGAAATTTAGCTGAGAGCTGCAGAATTCTGTGACAACTGAAAAAAAGCCTTGCAGAAACCATAATCCTGTCACAAGTCTGTCTGGTCTGTGAGCCATTTTTACATCTGTAAGAACCCTATAGTTATAACCTGGCAGATAGTGGCTTCTGTACAAGTCTGCTTATCCCATGGTTCCCATCCTCCGCTTTAAGTACCATATAAAAACATTGCACCCCTTGCTTCAAGGTGATCAGACTTTGTGGCATGAGCCTACTCTTGACTGGAGGGCCTGATAAAGGACCCTTGCTTAATTTGAACTCAGTGTGCCGGCGTTTCTTTCTAATTCCACTCGCGGTACAACACAACCTCCTCCAAATGTAAATAGCCTGGGCCAGGTGCTGTGGCTCACGAGTGGCTCATGCCTGTAATCCTAGCACTTGGGAGGCAGTTGGGTGGACTGCCTGAGCTCACAGGTTCAAGACTAGCCTGAGTCAGAGTGAGACCCCCGTCTCTAAAATATAGCCCGCGGCTGTGGCGGGCGCCTGTAGTCCCAGCTACTCCGGAGGCTGAGGCAAGAGAATGTTGAGCCCAGGAGTTGGAGTTGCTGTGAGCTGTGTCACCATAGCACTCAACCAAGGGTGACAAAGTAACAGTCTCAAACAAAACAAAACAAAACAAAACAAACAAAACCCTAGGTGTTAGCATGTACCTGGAACATCTAGGGTAGTAAAAATAACAATTCTGTTATTTTCTTTAATAGTTTATAAAGCCTTTCTAGTGTTTTTTGCCACACAGAAACTGAAACACTGAAAAGACAAATCACCAACTTTTCTAGACTTTTGCAACTCTTTCCTTAATTCCTGGAGATCTCGAACGTTTGCCTAGTGTACTATGGCAGATGGTTACAGAAGAGTGTCATCACAACAACCAGCAGATCCCTAATTTTGCCTCAGAACTTCGCCTTTTCCAGGGCCAGGTTCCCGTTGCTTAAGACTTGGGCATGCGCAGAAGCTCAGCAAAGGCGGGCACTTTCTCACTTCCCCTAACAAGAGAAGCAGAGTAGCAGCAGAGCGTGTGCGCAAGCGCGTCGCAGGCGCTGGGGCGGTGGGTTACGCCTGGAGAGCGCATGGGCAAACGGTACGTCCGTTAGTCGGGACTGGAGGGGTGAGCGGGCGCCATTTTCTTCTGGGCTCAGTTAGGGCTCTGCCTGTTCCGGGGAAGCTGCTGCTGCGAGGCTTGCCCTCAGCCCGCGGTCCTGTGTGTCCGACTCGCAGCAGTGGTGTATTTACTGCCAAGTGCGAAGCAGTTTCCCCTGGGGCGCCGGGGCTGGGGACGGGTTTGCTACCAAGCCGGAAGAACAGGGAAGGCGGGGCCGGCGGCTGCGCCCGAGTCTAGCGTAGCTTCTGCTCTTAGGGCTCCCTCTTTTCTTGCTAAACAACGACTTTCCCTCTCCCGTCAGCTTCCATGTGGTGGTGTGTGTGCGCTTCCCAGTGATCTTGACAGTGAAGATCTCGAAGGATTTCATAGGTATTTTCTTCTTTGCTGTGTCATCGTAGTCTGGTGGCAGATAAGTGCTGAAGGCCCAGCTCGTTAGGTTCGAAAAGGGCAAAAGTGTTTGCGTTAGATTGGGGGCAGTTCACCCTGCGGCCAGTTAGGGTGGAACGTGTGCCCTTGGGACGGCGTAACGGAAAGGCGCGGAGGTTGGGCGGTCCAGGTTAATTTGAACGATGATTGTGGCTGAAGGTCTGGCAACAGCATCGGATCTCTCGTAGCGACTTTGGCCTGGCACGAAAGAAGGAAGCTCTGATCCCTGGGAGTATGGACAAAGGCTTTGGGCTGTAGAATCGATGCCTTCGGATGATCCTGTTGAGGATAATGGATGTTGTGGGAAGCCCTGTGCCGTGTGGATTCATCTTCATTTGCAGTTGCTCCTAGGCTCTGTGTGGTCGTACTTTTGGTTTTTATTTTAACCATTTACATCATAAAATGCAGAAAATGCATCATGAAGAATAATTGTGGCCTGCGTAGATTTATTTTCATTAGGGGAAACTCACTATTTAGAATTTAAGTATGCTACATGATAACTGGGGTTTCAGAAATAGTTGCAAAGAGTGAAGGAGGTTACTCTCCCTCGCTATGCCTGGATAATGACCTTTTTATTCCTTAGTTAAAAATTATGGATCTGAGATACCGCTTTAAATTTAGCCTCCTTCCAATTTCTCTTTCTTTACCCTTCTCAGTCTTGATTAGAAGATGCACATTTCACAATTTTTAGTTATAATAGTGATTAAGTAGAATGAATGGCTACATAAAATCTACAAAGTTACTTAAAAAGCACTTTTAATTTCAGTGACTTACCCTTAAATGAGCTTTTAGGGATGGGTCCACTTTCTTTTCATAGAAGTTGTCACAGATTACTGTGTCTTTCAGTGAATACAAAGTCACAAAAAGTACTTAGACTATCTTCAGTTCTAGGAAAAATTTAAGTGCAAAGTACTTTAAGGTAATTTGTGTTTTTTTGCTTTTTGCATAATTTAATGTGCTAAGTATAGAACTTCTGGGGGGATTCGCTTAATTGTAAATTGAATATTGGAACCAAAGGACAAGTGCTCATTTGGAGAGTTGGTCATATATATATATGGTCTCCTTAGTGTATTGCTGTGGAGGGATGAATGGCACAGTACCCTTCTATTTCAAGGGCAGAGGAATTTAAGCATTCGTTATATCTAACGGTGGGCCAAATGAGGCCAAATTTTAATGGAATTCATGAGATTTGTGCTTATGAAGCTACTTAGTTTCGTTTTTAAGTTAGGGAAGATAAATTACTAGAGATTTTTTTGAATTTGACATGTAATTTTTCCTTGAAATTGTCTATATTATTTCTCATAGATGAATTTATGTTCTCAGGGTAAATCCTTTTGAAATTTTTAAAAAGTTTAGGAGAGACAAATTGATGTGTATATTGTTTCTAAAATATCTTAAAATATCAAGCCAGTTTGCATAGGAGGGAGTCTTGGGACTTTAATGTAGATAAATATTCCAGAAATGATATTTTAGTTTTGTTGAGGTGCTGGTGTGGGTATTGGTTTGTTGAAAAAACTAGGCTTATAATCTTTTTTTTTTTTTCTTTGCTAATGTGTGGGTATTTTAATTATAAATCTCATTAATATTTTTTTAGATGTAGAATGTCCCAAGTAATTTCTTGATATCTTTGTCAATTTAGCTTGTAGCATAAAAAGTTTAATCTGTGGACCCTTTTTTAAGGAAAACAAACTTGGCAGACCTCAGTGAATGTCTTCAGACCCACTTTGTGGAACAGTAGTACTTAAGTGTAAGTACTAGACTAACATTTATTTACACATTAAAAACACACAAATTGTAATTATTAATTTGACAGGTATTAAAAAGTTTTTGGTAAGACTTCATTAAATCTTGTTAGTTTGGGTATCCCTGAAAGGATTAGATGCAAATTTCCTTACAAAATACTACATTGAGATTTTTCAGTAAACTGGTAATCCCAACATTCCATATGAAGGAATTTTTATTATGTTTTTACGTTCCCACATTGTCTTTTAGGTTTCCTCAATAAAGTGCAGGATAGTTGTTTGAAATGGAGTAAGGCTGTTGGCAATAAAATTCGATATTTATCTCAGCATTTTCTGTTTGAATTAAGATGGAGTTTAATATTTAATGTTTTAGGGGTGTAAGATAAGGAGTGTATTGAGATTTTTGATTTTAGGGGCATTGTAGTAGTTGCCTTAATTATATTGGAATCATGAAATTTGTTTTCATGTTTGGAAGTGTGAGCTATATGTGTGGAACTTTAAATTGTATTCACATGGGAGCCATAGATTTGTATTCACTGCTTTAAAAATTGATTTTTAAATTTTAAGTTTTGCTCTTCATTTATTGTGTTATTTTGAATGAATGCCTTATTTATGTGAGTAGGTCTCATGTTTTGAAAGGGAGGAGGATAGCAAGAGAGTTGGAAGAAGTCATTGAAGATCTTTTTTGTTATTAAATTGCTATTTTACTTGTAGACCAGTTTTTTTTTTTTTTTAAAGTGGATGTAAAAATTCTGCACAGCAGTGTGCATGCACCGTAAGGATAGAATTAAGCTTGGACACATTTATATTGATACATCCATGTAACCACTGCAGTATTCAAAATATGTAATGTCCCTCACTACTTCTACTTTTCATCAAGGAGTAGTTTAATTTTTAGCAAGTGTTTTAATCATTTGCAGATACTTAACTGGAATATCAACACCTTTTTGTGGAAGGATGATTAGTGTTCCCTTGGAACAAAGAAGACCATTTTGTAATGCCCATAATTGTGGTTCCCTATACTGCTTCACTTTTGATAGGTAATACTGAAATGGATATCCTAATCTGGCGTTGTATAAAATAAGTTATAGGGTTCAAGGATTAATTGTATTTCATTTTCTTTCCACAGTTAAGTTGCTTTTACAGAATTAACAGGTCTCCAAGAAATTAAAAAAAAAGGTAAGATATCTGGAGTTTAAGGTTTTTTGCAGACACTTAAAAAATCCTATGAAGTAGAATAGTACCCATGGTTTCTCTTCTTTATGTCAGGCCAGTGATGCGCTAGTGGTAGGCATTTTATTATCATGAGCAGAAATTGTATCCTAACTGTAGATGGCTTTTCTAAATATGTAAAATTCATTGTAGCTGGCAAAATATGTTAGTCCACAAAGCTGTCTCATGTTTTAGTAGAAGATATTTTTCTAAATTAGTCTGAAAGTAGTTTGGTCTTGTTGTGAAGCAGCATTTGGCATATGTACAAAGGAAGATTTGATATTTTTGATGTTCTTTATGTATAGGATAGGTGATATTTCATGTTTCTTTAAGGTAGTTGGTTTATTAGTATGTTTAGATGGAAGAAAGTTTATTCCTTGTTTAATAATTAGATATGATCAATATTTTTGTGAGCTTGAATCTTGTTTTCATTTATAAATGCTGAAGGAGGCAGGAACCAGGTAATTGTTTAGTTTGGGCTAAGGTACTTCATAAATAAGATTTGCTATTATGTGTACCTTTTTGTCTACAGGTCATTATTGCTGTGGTTTGAGCTCAGCATGGCTGTAGTCATCCGTTTACTTGGGCTTCCTTTTATTGCGGGGCCTGTGGATATTCGTCACTTCTTCACGGGATTGACTATTCCTGATGGAGGAGTGCATATAATTGGAGGGAAAATTGGGGAGGCTTTTATTATTTTTGCAACAGATGAAGATGCAAGACGTGCCATAAGTCGTTCAGGAGGGTTTATCAAGGATTCCTCAGTAGAGCTCTTTCTTAGTAGCAAGGCAGAAATGCAGAAGACTATAGATGTGAAAAGAACTGATCGAGTAGGAAGAGGGCGACCAGGATCTGGGGCATCAGGGGTTGGCAGCCGATCTGATTTTATTGAGCCAGTTAAGGAAGAAGCAAGTAACTCTGGATATGGCTCTTCGATTAATCAAGATGCTGGGTTTCATACTAATGGTACAGGACATGGTGAGTTAAGGCCAAGAAAGACAAGGCCATTGAAGGCTGAGAATCCTTACTTGTTTCTACGAGGTTTGCCTTACTTAGTAAATGAAGATGATGTACGTGTCTTTTTCTCTGGTTTATGTGTGGATGGAGTAATTTTCCTAAAACATCACGATGGCCGAAATAATGGTGATGCCATAGTAAAATTTGCTTCATGTATCGATGCTTCAGGAGGGCTTAAATGTCATAGAAGTTTCATGGGTTCACGATTTATAGAAGTAATGCAAGGATCAGAACAACAGTGGATTGAGTTTGGTGGTAATGCAGTTAAGGAGCTCGATGTTCCTGTGAGATCTGAAGAACATTCTCCACCAAGAGGAATTAATGATAGACATTTTCGAAAACGGTCTCATTCAAAATCTCCCAGACGAACACGTTCTCGTTCCCCTCTTGGATTTTATGTTCACTTAAAAAATCTGTCCCTAAGCATTAATAAAAGAGATATAAGAAATTTCTTTAGCGATATTGATCTGACTAATGAACAGATAAGATTTCTATATAAAGATGAAAGAAGAACAAGATATGCCTTTGTGATGTTCAAGACTTTGAAAGACTATAATACTGCTCTGGGTTTACATAAGACTGTTTTACAATATCGTCCAGTTTATATTGATCCAGTTTCTAGAAAACAGATGTTGAAGTTCATTGAATGTTATGAAAAGAAGAGACCAGGGTCAGTAGAGAAAGAGAGGCCTGGACATGTTGCACAAAAATACTCTGAAGAAGGCCACTCTAGTCAGAAGCTGTGCATATATATAAGAAATTTTCCATTTGATGTTACAAAAGTTGAAGTTCAAAAGTTCTTTGCAGACTTTTCTCTTGCTGAAGATGACATTTACTTGCTTTATGATGACAAAGGAGTTGGTCTGGGAGAAGCATTAGTGAAATTTAAATCAGAGGAACAGGCCATGAAAGCTGAACGTTTAAACCGTCGAAGATTCTTAGGGACAGAGGTATTATTAAGACTTATATCTGAGGCACAAATGCAGGAGTTTGATGTAAACTTTTCCTTGACAGCTAGTGAGAAGATGCAAGCCCATTCTCAGTCAGATGACAGAGATGACCATTCTCATTTATTTGACTCAAAAGATGCACCCGTATATTCAGTTGACCCTTCTGAAAACTTTAGACATCAGTTAGAGGACTTGAGGCAGCTGGATAATCTCAAGCATCCCCAAGGGGATTTCCGACAACCAGAGAGGCGCCCTCCAGAAGACTTCAGGCATTCTCCAGAAGGTTTCAGGTTCCCCCCAGAGGACTTCAGGCGTTCCCCAGAAGACTTAAGGCGCCCTCGGAAGGAGCACTTCAGGCGACTTTCAGAGGAGGACTTCCGCCGCCCTTGGGAAGAGGACTTCAGGCGCCCCCTGGAGGATGACTTCAGACACTCTAGAGGGGAGGATTGGAGGTGGCCTCTTGAGGAGGATTGGAGGCGGCCACTGGAGGAAGACTTCAGGCGGTCTCCAAAGGGGGACTTCAGGCAGCTTCCTAAGGAGGAGTTCAGGCAACCCCCCGAGGAAGACTTCAGGTGGCCTCCGGAGGGAGATTTCAGACGGCCATCTGAGGAGGAATGGAGGCGGCCACCGGAGGAAGGCTTCAGACGGCCACCACCCGAGGAGGACTTTCGGAGGCCCTCAGAAGGTGATTTCAGGCACTCGCCTGAAGAGGACTACAGGCATTCGCCCCAGGAGCATTTCAGAAGGCCTTCCCAGGAGCGCTTCCGGCGGGCGCCCCCGGAGTATTTCAGGCGACCACCTCCTGAGCACTTCAGGCGGCCACCCCCGGAGCACTTCAGACGGCCACCCCCGGAGCATTTGAGGCGTCAGCCCCCTGAGCACTTCAGGCGTCCACCCCAAGAGCATTTCAGGCGTCCTGGACAGGAGCATTTCAGGCGCCCCCGAGAGGAAGATTTCAGGCATCCACCAGATGAAGACTTCAGAGACCCTCGGGATGAAGACTTCAGGCACCCTCCAGATAAGGATTTCAGGAGCCCCCAGGAGGAAGATTTAAGATGTCCTTCTGACGAGGATTTCAGGCAGCTTCCTGAGGATGACCGCAGGGAGGCTCCGGAGGAGGACCCTAGACTTCCTGACAATTTTAGACCACCTGGTGAGGATTTTCGGAGCCCGCCTGAGGATTTTAGAAGTCATCGCCCTTTCGTGAATCTTGGTCGCCCAGAAGGTGGCAAGTTTGATTTTGGAAAGCATAATATGGGAGGTTTTCCTGAGGGGAGATTTATGCCTGACGCAAAGTTAAATTGTGGTTCGGGTAGAGTAACTCCTATTAAGGTAATGAATCTTCCATTTAAAGCTAATGTCAATGAAATTTTAGACTTTTTCCATGGTTATAGAATTATACCTGATTCAGTTTCAATACAATATAATGAGCAAGGATTACCTACAGGGGAAGCCATTGTTGCTATGATAAATTATAATGAAGCTATGGCTGCTATTAAAGATCTAAATGATAGGCCAGTTGGCCCCAGAAAAGTTAAGTTAATTTTGCTCTAGAGAGCATTTCTGATTACAGAATTATCTTCCTCCCACAGTATTGATGCAGTAGAATGCCTTTTTAAAAATTGTTTATTTTTAATTATCTGATGAAAAGAAATACTTTTAATTTTGAACTGTGAATAGAACAAATGTAAATAGTAGAATGTGAATCTGGTTTTCTTTTGCTTGCAAATTGCAGTTCAGTTTTTCTAATTTAAAATTATATATACCTTTTTTTTTTCTGACAGGAAAGAACTAATTCCCTGAGTTCATTAATTTTTGTTGATGTCATGGGTAAATCTCAAGACTTATATAGAGTACAGTTGTATTTGGGGGAGATAAATTTTATATTTACTTTTTTATTTCATTCTGTAGTCTATATCTTTTACTCAAACTGTATAAGGAAGTAGCGACTGATTGTTCAGGTTTGGCATTTTTCATTGCTACCTGCTTGCAGAATTAATGCCTTTTCTTTGTCTGAGATATTATTGTGTTAAGTCTCCTGTTAACTATAAATAGTTCAAAATGGACAGACTGTCAAGTTGAAGTTTACTTATGTAAAAAGCTTAGGTGATTCTTAAGGTTTCCATGTTCATAGCTTTGCAAAGTTTCATAAAAATAAAAAATTGCAACCAAATAGAGCAAGTAATTAACTTGTATTTGTATAAAAAAAAAAGAATTGCAGGTTGGTATTGTTAAGTTTTTCAACAAATTGCATTAAACTATAATAATGATGGGAGATACCATACATCCTATTATAATAATGTATAGTAGTGCTGTGTATAATTCTATGGTTTCTGCAACATCTTTTCAACCAGTTGATAAGATGGACACAAAATACTCAAAAGACAGTAAAATAGAATGTAATTATAGGTACAAGGGAAGCCTCAGGCTTTTGCTGGGAAAATCTGACAAATAGGTATAGTATTCTAGGTCAATTAACTGATAATTCATATAACATGCATGAAATATGAGGTTCTCGGTTTTAGCTTCAAAAACATATCCATAGCCACAAAGACTCTGTAACTATGTAAGACTTGTGAGATTGAATTTTGACCTCAACATTTAGTGTATACGTTTTGCAAATACTGAATTTGATTTTTCTATATCCATAATCCTAATGGCTAACATTTACTAGGTACTTACTATGTGCTACGAATTACAAGCGCTTGACATGCATAATCTCAGTATACCCTAATAAGTACAGGGTTTATTATTTACTTTATTTCACAAATGAGATGATGAAGTTGAGACATTAAGCAACTTGCCTAAAGTCACAGATCGTAAATCATGGAGCCAATTTCAATCCAGACAGACCTCTGACTCTACTTCATACTCTTAATAATTTTGCTGCCTCACTTTGCTAAATGGTGTTTTTAATTTTAGTAAGACTGCTAAAGATACTTTCAATAATAAGTGATATTTTACTTCCACTGTTGGCTTAAAAATAACATTAGAAAAAGATAAAACTAGGGTGCTCAAATATTAATAAAAAACAAAGTAAAAGTTTTTATATATATCTAGGGGTTTTGGGGGGATACATAAAATATTGACTTCTATTTCAAAATTGTTTGCTTTATCCAATGACTTTGTTGGGTTTTTGTAGTTTATATAAAACATAATTTTCCTTAGTTCTGTGATCTAGAAATTTTGCACATTGAGTAAATGAGAATAAAAATGAATTTATGTCTGGGTAGTTCAGTCATTTAATAATTGGATTTGCAGAGGTGGAATACTTTGTCAGTAATTAGTACCTATAAATATTTTGCAATGATTTTTAGTGATTTAAAGAAATCTAGAGAATTCTACTTAAATTTCAGTCAGTGAATATTCTGCTTACTAGTAGAATGAATAATCTGGTAAATTTGGTTCAGAAAGGCACCTCAATATGTAAGCTTATAAATAACTAGAATGATGACAAACCGGAATATCCAAACCTAGTACAATGAACAAAATACGAAGAAATGCTATTTTTAATTGTTCAAAGTTAGTAGTACATTTGATAAGCCTTTTTTTTGTTTCTTTGATCAGCCTTCTTGAGTAACACACAGAAGATTTAAAAACAACGTCTCAAATGGAAAGCAGTAAAGCTAAGATGAAGCTTAAAGTGAAAGATCACTTAGTGTGGAATTGCTTCTCAAACTGAGTAGGTGGGGATGGTGGGTCAAGAGGCCAGCTGTTATAAATACAAGCTTTGTATTATGTACCAAAAATTAATTGATGTCAATATTTCATTTTACTCTAGTATCTAGAGGGGTTTAGTTTTTAAAAATTTCTTCTAAAAGTTCTTTATAGGTTGGGCACCAGCCCCATATACTGAGGGTGGTGGGTTCAAATCCAGCCCCGGCCAATCTGCAACAAAAAAATAGCCTGGCATGTGGCAGGCGCCTGTAGTTGCAGCTAGTCCAGAGGCTGAGGCAAGAGAATCGCCTAAGCACGGGAGCTGGAGGTTGCTGTGAGCTGTGTGACGCCATGGCAGTCTACCGAGGGCAATGGAGTAAGACTCTGTCTCTGCAAAAAAAAAGAAAGTTCTTTATAGGAAGCTGGTATCTACTGGTTAGGAGCCATTTTTGCACATCTTTTTTCAACTCTGCCTTTAGTGGTATGTCATTAATTTAAATTGGCCGTGGCAGGGGTATTTATACCTTGGAAATTGGTAAATGCAGCAAATCAGGATTACTCTCCCTTCCTTTCCTTCCTCATAGCCAGTTTACCAGCACATTACTGATTTTAAACATAAAAAGTGTACTAAATGCTCATGTACTCATCACTCAGCTTCAATAATTATAATTTCATAGTTAATTTTAACTTTCTCCTGCTCCCAGATATATCAGGTACACTGGAGGCATATTGGTGTTCTACTGTGAAACGCAATAGTGTTTTGTCTCAATGCCAAACATTTTTGTAAAAGTATCTGAAAAATATGGATCATGTCTAGAAAGTTAATACCATAACAAAGAGATAGGTAAAAATCATTATTAGAAGGGTAAATAGAGAATATTGTCAAGAGCAATGGCTCCTGACCCACATGTCACCTGTTAAGCAGTTACTTAAATATTAGCTGTTGTTTACTGAGATGCATTAGATATATACTATATATATGTATGATCTTATATGTGAATATATGTGTGAATTAACTATTTTTTAATCCTGGTAATTCTAGTTTACTATAGGTTGAGTATCCCTAATCTGAAATCTGAAATGTTCCAAAATCTCCAATTTTTGAGTGCCAATATCATGCTCAAAGGAGACTCTCATTGGAGCATTTTGGATTTAGATTTTTTGATTAGGGATGCTGAACAGTAAAATGCATATACTCCAAAATCCAAAATCTGAAATACTTCTGGTCCCAAACATTTTGAACAAGGGATACTCAACCTGTATTTCTATTTTGGAGATGAGAGATGGAGACTTACAGGCTAAGTAAGGCTGTCAGTCTCCATTATACAACCTAGGTTGGTTAGTTTGATTGCCTAGTTTTTTAAAAGCAGGGAAGTTAAGAATGGTTTATAGATTTTTAAATGTAGTTATATCATAAATTATGTACATCATAAGTATACATGTAATAGCCTTGATTTTGCCTCTTGGCCCACAAAGGGTAAAAATCTTTTACCATCTGGGGCTTTAAGTAGCAGCTTGCCAACTGGTCTTATTAATGAAACTTAATTTTATGCTGATGAAAGTATTTTCATTGATACTATTCCTTTTGCTCTTAGAATATTTCTTTGCAGTAGGCAGAATATTTATTCCAGAACTATTTGTTGATTGCTTTATTATAGGTAGAACCACCTTAGAAATAAGGCAAATGGGCTCATCACCTGTAGCTCAATGGCTAGGGCGCCAGCCACATACACCACAGCTGGTGGGTTCAAACCCAGCCCAGGCTTGCCAGTGACAACTGCAACAACAAAAAAAATAGCTGGGTGTTGTGGCGGGTACCTGTAGTCCCAGGCAAAAGAATCACTTAAGCTCAAGAGTTCAAGGTTGCTGTGAGCTGTGATGGCATGGCACTCTACCAAGGGTGACATAAGACATAGTGAGACTTTGTCTCAAAAAAAAAGGCAAATGATGTAAAAAGAGAAGTATAGTAACCCTGTTTTTTTTCCTCCTGAACTATAACGCCAAATTTAAATACTGAGGAAGTAATAAAAATCCAATGATATCCTTAGTTTTTAAAGAATGTTAATTTAGGGGTTTAAAATATTTTGAATATTTTATTTAAAAAGTATAAAGTAATTTTATCACTTATGACTATTCTCAAGCAGTGCTTTGTTAACAGAACCATGAAATGACAAAGTCAAAAAAATCTTTCTAGTAAGTCTTTTATTTTTCTGTTGTGTAATCACTTCTGGTTATCCCAAATGATTTTTTATAAATTCTATAATTTTTATATGCCTGTTTGAGATCCAAGAAACAAAAGCATCAGAAAGGCTGATTGTTTTATAATATTAGAAATTAGAGTGACTAGATACCATTTTATTAACTAGATGGTAGCTTGGTAAAATGTTCATTGAATTTTTAATAGTTTATGGTGTTCCATGATGAGGCAGCATTTTACCTTTACCAGCCTTCCAAAGGGCTATACCATGTCTAATACTTAACAGCAGTTTTGTTTTAAATCCAGAATCAGGTTGAATGTGGCTTTTTTTTAAAGCTAAAATTTATACTTCATGCATATTTGTAAAAAATACTGGTATCTTAGTGTCCCCTTTAGTGTTTGATTTATTGAAAAATAAATTCACATATCAAGTGATAAAACATAGTAAACAAAACACAAAACTTAAGACTTCATGGAATAGAATTTTTATGTAGCCTTTTCTGATGATGAAAGCACAGTGTCCTAACCTAAAAGAAGCTAAGTGGAACTGTTAGATATTTTCGTTTTTGTCATCTACCTACTATTGCAGCTTCTTTAATTAGGTAAAGTGTATTAGTATGTTTTTTTAAAAATGGAACTTACACAAAAAGATCATATACCACTAGGTAGAATGTTGAAAAGACTGGTGTGTAATATTTTTTAAAAACTTTTGCGTTTTGGTCAGCATAAATTGCCTTTAATTATTTTTCAATTTCTAGTAAGATTTCATTTGAGATTTCAACCTATAAAGAAAGTGTGACAAGGTAGTTATTTAAGATGAAAATGGAGAATTAAGAAAATTAATTTTCATCTTCTGTAATATCTAACTCTTCATCTTCATCATCATCTTCTGCTTGTTGATCCTTTCTCAGTCGACAAGTGGATACCTGTTAAAAGTTAACACAGTTTAAAAAAATAAATACTAACTTAAACATTTCACATGTTTGAATCTTTCTATATGTCCTTAAGGAAAGGGCATACAACATATTTCAGAAAATGTCCATATATTATTTTAGTAATGAAAATTAAGTTGAAAAAGTCAAAGATTTTTAATTATATTTTTTGTATAAAAATGTAAAATTAGGCTGGGTGTGTGGCTCAGGCCTGTAATTCTAACATTCTGGGAAGCCAAGGTGGGAGGGCTCTTTGAGGCCAGGAGTTCAAGACCTGCAAGAGCAAGACCCCATTTCTATAAAAAACAGGAAAATTAGCTGGGTGTGGTGGTATGCAACTACAGTTCAGTTACTTGAGAGGCTAAGGCAGGCAAATTCCTTGAGCCCAGGAGTTTGAGGTTACAGTGAACTACAGTGACACCACTGCACTCTAGACTAGGTGACAGAGCAAGACTCTGTCCCTACCCTCTCCCCCAAAGTAAAATTAACCATTTGATTCCAGTTTGTACAGCCACCAGTACCTCAATAATATAAACTACTTCTAGAGAAAAATACAGCCTCAGTATACTATAAATGTTAAAAGTTAATTAATGACTCACAAAAACAGTATTTGAATGAAAATATCAAATGCATGGCAAAAACACAAGAATATTTCAACTAGGCAGTGAACAGAAATACTGACTTAAAAGTAGTGGATTTAAATGGAATGGGTTAAGAATGTGAATTCAATGAATTCACCAGCTTTTAAAGTTCTGACTGCTGCCACTAGGGCCATATTGCTTAAATCTTAAGAGGGTGTTTATCCTGAACCCAGGGGACCTATGGCAATGTCTGGAGACATTGGTTGTCACAACTGAGGGTGTGTGTTTGTATGTGCTACTATCTTATAGTTAAGAGGCTAGGGTTGCTGCTCAATATCTTGACAACGTACGGGACAGTACTCTTCTTCCCTTACTCCTCTTCCCCACTCACAAATAACCTGGTCCAAAGTTAATAGTGTTGAAGCTGAGAAAACCTGGGGTACTAAATTCTAAAATGTGCTATGCAAATGTTAGCTAATTTAGGAAAAATTCGTTATAAATAGTAAGAACTTTAATTTATGTGCAAAGTACTTAATGCTGGAATAATAAATATACAATGTGGTTAGGGAAAAGATACATAACTATAAAACATGTTTAGAGGAGAATCATGAAAATAGGTGTGTGGTCAAATTTACGTAAAAGTTGTATTTTGAAAATAATTTTGTTTAATTTAAAATTTTTAAGCCTAGATACATAAGAGGTTCTTTAGATCAGATTTTGGTAAGTATGGCCCAGCCTGCCTTCTGTTTCTGTTAATAAATGTTTTATTAGAACATAGTATTACAGATTTATGTATTGTTATTGTTGCTCTTGGTTGGGACAGAGACCATTTAGCCCACACAGCCTAAGATACTCTCTGCCCTTACAGAAAAAAGGTTGTCAACCCCTGCTCTAGACAGTGGATAATTCAGGCTTTCTGGATATAGAAGAAATAATTTTCATGATAATGCTAAGTAGAAGCCCTTTTTAGGTATAATGTCTGGATAGATCCACTATGTCTTGATGGTGAGATTTAAACCTAAGCCATTTGACTTCACAATTTATGCTCTTCATACAGCAGATCTAGCATTCTTTTGTTTTTTCTACCTTTGCTCTCAAATGTTACACTTTAGAGAGTAATATGTGATTCCAGTATAAAAGATACTTAATAAAAGAATAATAGAGCTACAAAGAATACTAGTGCAATCGTCCATCATTTTACAGAAGAGGAAACAGGCCCAAGGAGAGTAAGTTATGTGAAGTCATATGACTGAAGGGAAACAATTTTTAGTACTCAACAATTCCAAAGCAGCTCCACAAATACCTTTAAATGGTTTCTAGCTCACCTGTCCTGTCCCAGATACACACTTAGCTGACAGTGATCTCTGAAGAGGCGACTTTGAATTTGCTCTTACAATATCTAAACGAGATGAATAATCTTGTGGATACAGAGAATTTCGGAAAACCTATTACAATAATAAAACAACATTATAAAGGAGATACTAAACAATGAAAATCTAGAGTTTAATTTTCTCTTAAGGTTTTTAAAAAGCAACTTCCCCCCAAATTGGACAAAATTCCAATTATAAAAGAGAAAACAAAAATAGAAAAATTGTATAAGCCAGAAAGATGAAAGCTAAAGAATTGTTTGAATCATGTAAATTGATGAAGGATGTAAGCAGTAGTTATTCAAGAAACAATCATTTAAATGCTTTTGCCAAGAGAGTTGCAAAAGTGAAACCCTCAAAAGAGTATGCGTTAGATTCTTCCTGTTCTGTCTATCCTCAACTCTTACCAGTTTACCACCACTGCGGTGCTGCTGGGGGAAATCACCTAAACAGTAAATTGGAGCTTCCATAATACATGCATTCTAACCTCATTGGGATCTGGAATCCTGTGACTTGTCAGTTCTTTTTCCTCAAGATACTACCACCAAATCTTACCACTCCTAAGCCTTCCTGTCTTGTTTTCTATTTCTCTCATAGACTTCATAGGTAACATCATCAGGTCCCTTTCCCACAAACTCTTCATCCTTTTTTTTTAAGTATCATTTTAATTCTTTGCAACATGTATTTTTCCTTATCCAAAACTTCAAACCAAGAAAACGAAAGCTTTTATTTTCCACAGGTTCCCTCCTAAAAAGTGAGCTCAAAATCAACCTTTATTACCTCAAGGCATAACTTTGCTTCTTAAAAAACTTTCCAGATATACTATTTTATCTCCATTTATTTTTTAAAACACTACAATTGTAGCCTTTCACCTTCCACTAAAATTGCTCTTGCCAAAATCACCAAAGTCATCTTTTTGTCTTTATCCTGACTTCATCCTGAAACTTCTTTTTTCATGCCATCTCTAAGTTCTTTAGTTTTGCTTGCTGCCCTGTTACTTTACATCTCCTTTTCTACTACTTATACCTTAAATATTTTTAGAGTTTTCCTTAGGCCACTTTTTTAAAAAAAAGGTTCTCTGACAGATCTTAGCATTACAGTGTTTAAGGACTTTTAACTAATCCTCTGTATACTCCATATACTCTTCTTTTGGCAACCATATTTATACCCAATTACCTCTGTCCTAGACCAGTACTGTCCAGTAGAACTTTCTGAGATGATGGAAATGCTTGCTGTTCTGTGCTGTTGATAAAGGTAGCCACTGACCATATGTGGCTACTAAGCATTTGAAACGTGCAGGTGGTTGAAGAACTTAATTGCTTACTTTAAATTAACTTATCTTTAAGTAGCCACATATGCCTAGGGGCTACTATATTAACAGCGTAGCTCTAGATTTTACGTTTACAGTAACACATTATCTTTTACCTGTATGTAGGTGAAGCTATAAGCAAAAGACCTATTTTCCTAAAGACCAAATAAGTTGTTTCTCTATTCAAAAGCTTTGTGGCTCTTGACCCTATATGCAGAATACACATTATGCTGGGCCTATGCAATGCTAGTTCCTTAGCCTGGAATCACAGCAAACTTAATCTTTCAAGAGGGACATCACATGCCATCTTTTGCTTTCCCCTGTCTCTTGTAGTTCCTGTTCATATGCTCAACTATAGCTTTTATTTCAGTGTTTTGTAATTGATTATATATCTGCACAGCTAGTAAGTTTTGTTAAAGCAAGAGGCTCTGTTTTATACAGAGTGTCCATAAAGTTCATGTGCAATGTAAAATAGTGTGCAATTTAAAATTGTATGTGATCTTTATGGCCACCCTATATGTGAAACTTAAGATAATAACCTGGCAAACAGGAAATGTTAATAAAACCCACATTTGCCAAATGAATGATGTTAACATGAACTTAATCCCCATGTTGTGGGAAAAAAGGAGACCCAATTAGGGGTATCTGCACATTCCTTAGAGAACTGCAAGATAAAAAGGAATCAAGGAATAAAATTGAGGAGGTGAGACTTGTGTTTTAAGGTAATTAGGTTAACAGGTTGCCAAGGACCAAATTCTTTTTTGGTGCTAGACGTATAAACTGACATCCTGGTATGGTATCAATACTTCATGACTCATTAATCAACTAGATTTTGAAGTTAGGAAATACCTGTAACTTTTCTATCAAATTTAAAGTGTAAAATGGAAGACAATATGCAACCATTGGGTTAAAAGTCTAAAGCAGTTAAATACTATATTTAAACTTTTACTGCCAAGTAACAGATTTACAGGAACATTTATCGGCAATAATGAGTTTTCCAACATGGTCCGAGATCTCTTCTAGGAGTGAATCTCAAGATCTCAATGTGCTCTGAAGTGAAGACACGGAAGTGATCTTTTGAAGGGAAAACTAGGCCTGATGGAACTTTTTATGTGAAGAACAAATAAGGTAAGATGGTTTGTGATATAATTGCCTATGGCTGGAATAAATCTCAGCGGTTCTCAGCATTGACTCCCTGGAAGAATAGCAAGTTATTTCTCTGTCTCTGCGTATTTTCTATAGTTCTTTTAAAGAAACTTTGTATTTATAGGATCCTTCTTCTTCATGGTACCTGCCCAGACTGCTCTGCTCTGCTTTCCACAATTACTGTATGGTACTAGTTTATGCCTGTGGCTCATTGAACACATGCTTATACTCTGTTACTGTTCTGTTTTAAATGAATTATTCTTTATTCACAGCAATCCTTAGGATTTTTGTATATTCTTCCTGTGCCCTCTGCTTGAAAGTTTTTGTAGTCATCTTTCTAATCCTTCAGACTTCCAATTAAGAAATCATTCTTAGATTCTCTGGACTATTGGAACTGCTACCACATAGTATACTTTATTTTGTTCTTTAAGTTTTATAATATGACTAGTCACATAAATAGTTACACAGTATTTGATGAATGTCTAAAATCCCTGGTACATTTTAAATTCCTGCTTTGACAACTTGGATCATTTCTCACTTAAAATGCTAAATCCTTAGCACTGCAAATGTATCTGGCATAAAACGGGTGCTCAATAAAGAGTTGTTGAACAAACAAATGAAGTTAAGTACTGTATGTAAATGTCTCCATTTTAGAGAGGAGGAAGTTGGAGGGTGGAAAAGTTAACTTGCTTAGTATTACACCATTAAAAAGTGGGGAAGTTGATATTCAAAAGTACATTAACCATATTGCCCTGAGACCAGTCATTTTACATGGATCTCTCCTCCCACAAACTACTCAGCTACCTGATTGATCAGAGATGTTATAAATGAAGTGCTGTAACAAAAATATAGGTGCAAGGGCTCATGCCTATAATCCTGGCACTGTGGGAAGCCAAGGTGGGAGGAGTGTTTGAGGCCAAAAGTTTAAGACTAGCCTGAGCAACATAGGGAGACCCCTGTCTCTAAGAAATATTTAAAAATAGCATGCCTGTATTCTCAGCTACTTTGGAGTCTGAGGCAGGAACATGGCTTGAGCCTAAGAAGTTGAGGTTGCTGTGAGCTATGATGATGCAACTGCATTCCACCCTAGGTGACAGAGTAAGACCCTCTCCTTTACCTCCCTCACCATAAGATACCTAGGGCTTGGCGCCTGTGGTGGCTAAGGTGCCAGCCACATACACCTAAGGTGACGGGTTCAAATCCAGCCCGAGCCCACCAAACAACAATGATGGTTGCAACCAAAAAATAGCCGGGCCTTGTGGCGGGCGCCTATGGTCCCAGCTACTTGGGAGGTGGAGGCAGGAGACTCGCTTGAGCCCAGGAGTTGGAGGTTGCTGTTAGCTGTGATGCCACAACACTCTACCCAGGGGGATAGCTTGAGGCTCTGTCTCAAAAAAAAAAAAAAAAAAGAAAGATACCTAGGACCTTTGGAATGAGAAGGGAACTTGGGTATCAACAGGTATGAAAAAACTTTAACAAATGGCATGGCAAAGGTATTAGAAAAAGGAGAATGAAACTTACAAAGGGGACTCCAATCTTGCATGAAAAGTGGGGGATCAGTTTTGAACCTGCCACTCAGTACAGTATTATGTCTTGCAAGAAATGGTTCATGTCACTAATCAAGAACCACACTTCCAGTAGTCTAATGTAAAGAAAATAAAAACACAGCAGGACTTGCAGTCAGACTTATGGTTATAACTCCCAGCTCTGCTCCTTCCAAGTTGGGGAACCTCTGGGAAGTTTATTAACCTCCCTGTGCTTTGGTTTTCTCATCCATAGAAATGAAGACCATAAGCATTTTTATCAAAGTTGATGGAAAGATTAAAATGATGTAGTTAACACATATAGATCCCGAAGTAATCACAATACAGGGTGGCCATGAAGTTCATGTGCAATTTAAAAGCACACAGATTTTACGGCCACCCTGTATAAGCATTTGCTGTTTTAGTACTTGACAAATGAAAGCTGAGGGCATAATAATCAATTAAAAAAATCAGAACATAAAACTGAGTGAAAATTAAGGAACCCTAGCATTAGTATTTGGATGAAAGTAACACGAAGTCATCCATGACAAAAAGAAAATACAAATACGATCACATATATCTAACTGAGATAGAACTGTGAAATCATATTTTGGCATTGGGAACACACATACTCTAAGGTACTTTTTTCATTTTCATTAACCTGTGTTCCGGTTTTACTGAATAGTTTCCTGGAACCTGCAGAGTAATGGTATGAGAAGGCTCAGAGGAATTCTTACATTGATTAAGATAAAAAAAAAAAACAAAAAACTGCAGGGATCTTCAAAATTGTCAAATGGCAGACAAAAATACTTTTGTGCCTTTTTTTCCTCTTTTGAAACAGGGTAGGATATGTACTCTTCAGATGTGCTTATTAAAGACAGGGCCTGTTTGACACTTAGTTGCTGTAATGTTAGTTGGCTAATAGGAAGTGTTTGCATTTAACTAAAATTCCTATCAGTATAAAGCAAGCCTATGTAATAAACCTTTTATTTCATAGCTTAGTGATTATAATTAGAGTCAGGATCCTGATTTCATTTGTTAGCCAACTGGCCACAGACAAGTTACATTATTTAAAGCCTGTTTGCGTAGTTGTAAAATGAGAATTGTAAGAGCACCTCTTCTTAAGATTGTATGAGGTTTGACTGAGAATACATTGGGTATTGTGCACTGTATACACACTCAAATATTTCTCAAGTCAATTAGTTATTTATAGCACACATTAGTGGGCTTATATATTAGCCCAAATGACACACTTTTATTTCTTGTAATGGCTTTATGTAAATTATATTTTGCTATGGTTAATTTGAAAAGTTAAAATGGAAAATCATAAAAATTCCAGGTATTTGTGGCTGCATATAATAATCATTGTAGTGTTCTAATTTATTTTTACCCCCACGAATTAATGTTCTCTTAAACACTTGCACATTAACAGAAGAACTGAACTTAGATAGATATTGTCCTACCTCTAAATCTTCATCCTCATCAATCTTTTGTATGTTTTGGTAGGCAGCGGTGTAGACCTCTAAAGCTTTGCCGTGAAATAACATTTCGATTGTGATAAATTCTGAAAATACATTCTAAGAAAACAAAGATTGAATTTAAACAATCATTTACATTGCTTTATAAGTTTAGTATATTTATTCCTCAGTACAGTTTGTTACAAAACACATAAATATTGTTTTCTTTTTTTTTTTTTTTTT